TAAGCAAAAAAAAAAAAGGGGGAAAGGAAATGATATAGGAGAATATTTGTGTATTACTTCTGAAGTGGGATGGATTTTTTTTAAACATCTTTTTTAAAGTTTATTTATTTTTAGAGAAAGAGCACGAGTGGGGAAGGGGCAGAGAGAGGGAGAGAGTCCCAAGCAGGCTGTGCGCGCTCTATGCAGAGCCCAGTGTGGGCTCACTCACAAGACGTGAGATCGTGACTTGAGCTGAAATCAAGAGTCTGAACCGACTGAGCCACCCAGGTGTCCCCGGGAGGGATTTTTTAAAGAACAGCTCACGAAAAAACTTCCGTATACCACAGGCAGTGTATTTGACGGAGGGAATGGCAAGCTTAGGTTTATCCATTAGAACTTTGGTTCAGTGATGGCTGGTCAAGAGAGATTGTATCGTATTTTAGTTTGACTCTATTCTTATGCCACAAAAGTGCCTTTAGTATGATTCTTAGAGTCTATACCTAGTGAAAATTCGTCATTTGTTTACCATTTTCTTTATTTACTGTTGCTTCTTACATCCCACTCATTCCTTTTGGGTCTAGTTTTCTTCTTGTGAAAGCACAGCCTCCAGCAGTTCTCTGAGATACTTCTCGTCTGTGAGAAGTGGTCTCTGGTTTTGTGTCTGAAGATCTCTTTTTTCTTTCTCTGTCATTCATTTTGGAACAGTGATTTAGCTGGAAATAGACAATAGATAGCTGACTTTCTTCAAAATTTTATACAGAAATTATTTCATTGTGATCCGGTGCGCATTCCTGATGAGCAGAGTCCTGTGGGCCTGGTGTGCTTTCCTGTGTAGATCTGTGGTCTTTTCTTCCCGGTCGTAAGATTTTTGTCATTATCTTTGATATTCTACATTTCTCTGTAATTTTACAATAAGTTTATTTGTTTTTATTTATTGCGTTTAGAATTTGGTACGATTTTCAAACTAAGAACTCATGTCATCAATTTTGGAAAATACTCTGAGATTATCTCTTTAATAAGATTACCTCTTCCCTAATTCTTCAATTTTTTTCTACTGGAATCTCTGTAACAGATTTTAGAATGTTCTCCTTCAGTCTCCTTGGTCTGTTAACTTCCCTTTGATATTTTCCTTTTCTCTATGCTACCTTGTGCTTTAGTTGGAACTTTCTTCCACTTTGCTATTTTTCTTTTATACTGACTCTAAATTATTATTTTAATCTATTGAATTTTTATTCCAGGGACTACATTTTCTGTCTTACATGTTTTTCCCTTCAAATGTGACTGTTCTTTTTTTTCCCTTCCATAATCCTGTTCCCTTGCCTTATGATTTCTGTGCCTTCCTTTATCTCTGAATATTTTAGACCCATGTATTTGGAAAACAGTTTAAGGTGTTAATACTTTTGTTTATTGCTCTGATTCTCTTTCTTGGAGGTGCGTTTCCTTACAGGCTTTTCGTCTTTTTTTTTTTTTTTTTTTTTTTTTTTTTTTTTTTTTTTTTTCCATCTACCTCCAAGTTAGCATATAGTGCAACAGTGTTTTCAGGAGTAGATTCCTTATTCGGGGTCTTTCCTGGTTCCATAGAAATTTTAGGATCGTTTGTTCTAGTTCTGGAAAGACTGCTGGTGTTATTTTGATAGGGATTGCCAGGCTCTTAGTTTTTAACTCCTCTCAGATGAAGTTGTTTTCAGTGTCATGGGTTGTCACGGAGTCCTGTGGAACCATTTCATGCTTGCCCCAGCCAAGGCCCCACGGGTTTACCGATCGCACACGTTTTTATGTTAACTGCTTGACTCAGGTCGCCTGCACTGGACACGTAGAGTGAGCTCAGAACCCACGACTTTACACCGTTTGGAGCTGCTACTCTGGTTTTCCGTTTCTTGCAAAGACTAGACTTTTAGCCTCACTTGCTTTCATCCTGTTCCCCTGGAGTCAGTGCCACTGGGCAAGCATTTTCCAGTTCCTGCTTCGCAGACCTCACTGCTCTTCCAGGCTCTCAGCTTGATGCACTGTCTCCGTTCCACTGCCTCTTCAGAGGCTGTCTTAGAGTCCCACGTGTTTGACTGTCTCCATGCAGATTTCAGATTAAGTAGATGTTAGCATCGTACTACATTTGCTTCAGATCTTTCTTTTACCGTTACACATAAAGCTAAATCCCTACTCCGTTATTCTCCTTCCCTTCCTCCCCTAAAGTGATGATTATTCTAAAGTATAGTTGTGTTGTTTGAAAATTTTATTTAAGTTACAACATCCAATTTTTATTTTGTCACTTGTTTTTTTTTCGTTCACTCCATGTAAATCCAGTTCATCTTAATTTTTAAGCGTTACATGAATAAGCCAAATTTCATTTATTCATTTGCTTATTAAGGGGTAGTTGTTTTTTACTTCTTTACTCCTACAGGCAGTGCTCTGATGACTTTGTTCCTTGTGTACATGTGTTACATCTAGGAGTGGCATTTCTAGATCAAAGGTGATGCATATCTTCCGTATTCTGGAAAATGCTTAATTGCCACCCAAGAGCGGCTGTTCTGATTCCCACCAGCAGTGTTTCTGTTCCTATTTCTCCATCTTTCCCAGTACTTGATTTTTAGACATAATAAAATTTTCCTAGTCTGATCATTTTTCTAACATGTTTTCTTTTTCTCTTTGATTTTTTTTTAAGACTGCTTTCATCATACTATGTGTTACAGTCATTAAATGTCTGTATACACATGGTTCTGTTTCTGAAATCTCTTTCTTGTTCTGATAGTCAGTTATGGCTTTAGAGTAAATCCTAGTGTCTTAGAAGGTAGGTGACCTCCTTGTCCTCTTCCCTCCCTCTTTTCTTCTTTAGAAATTTGATCTTCTCCAGAAAGTTCATACAGATTTTGATAGAGTTACCTGTAGGCATCTTGTCTTCTTTGTTGCTGTTGTAAAAAATGTCTTCTCTCATAAACTGAGGGTTGATGGGTGGGTGGGTGGGAGGGAGGGGAAAGTGGGTGATGGGCATTGAGGAGGGCACCTGTTGGGATGAGCACTGGGTGTTGCATGGAAACCAATTTGACAATAAATTTCATATTAAAAAAAAGATCTTCTATCAAATTATATTTTTAATTGCTTGTTGCTCTTTTGCTAGAACTACTGATTTTTGTTTTTGTATATTGCCCTTATACCTTGCTGAACTTTTATTAGTGCCGATGATAAGCGAATATGAAGTTTTGTTTCTTCCTGTCTAGTCAAGCACACACTGTAGCTAATCTCTTGAGTTCTTACACATAAAGTACACAAATTATATTGACTATAACGTAAAAGTTGAAATCTTGGGATGCCTGGGTGGCCCAGTCGGTTAAGCATCTGACTTCGGCTCAAGTCATAATCTTTTGGTTCGTGGGTTTGAGCCCCATGTCAGGTTCTGTGCTGACAGCTCAGAGCCTGGAGCCTGCTTTGGATTCTGTCAAGTGGTCTCCCTCTCTCTCTGCCCCTCCCCTGCTCGCACTCTGTCTCTCAAAAATAAATAAACGTTAAAAAAAATTTTTTTTTAAATAGTTGAGAGAGCTCTGACGTGGGCTCGAACTCACAAGTTGTGAGATCATGACCTGAACCGAAGTCAGCCGCCCAACCGACTGAGCCACCCAGGTGCCCCTCAACTTTATTTTCAAATGTATATTTTCATGCCATTGTTTGTGTCTCTTAGATGGCGACTATACAGATTCCCCCTTGGCACCCACGTTCTGCACTCCTGGTTTGAAAATTCCTTCTACAAAGAACAGTATAGCTTTGGTACGTTTCCATAACCTTGAAAGCTCTGATCTTTTTCCTGATGACCTATATACATACGCTACTATTTCTAGACGCAGTCTGTTTTAATATTGTCTGTCAACTGTACTTCAGTTAAAAAGGAAAAAAAACCACTTAGGCTACTGCAGCCTTTAAGAGTACATTTACATATTTCTAGAGGGGAATTTAGGGGAATTTGGCAGCATATAGCAAAAGCTTTAAAATTTTCATGCCCTTTAACCGTGTCTCAGAATTTACTCTAAGGTACATTGGCACAAAGAATTATAACAAGGAGTTTATAGAGGAAGGAACAGCATTATTTATAAGAGCAAAGCATGGGAAAAATCTAGATGTCAAGCGGTAGCATAGAAGCAAACTACACTAGGCTGTGTATGGTGTTCTGTAACTAGCGTATGTTTTTATTATTTTTTAAAATATTTATTTATTTATTTTGAGAGAGAGAGTGGGAGAGGGCCGGGGGAAAAAGAGAATCCAAAGCAGGCTCCGCCCTGACAGTGCAAAGCCGGATATGGGACTCAAACTCACGAACCATGAGATCATGACCTGAGCCGAAAGAAGAGTTGGATGCTGAACCCACTGAACCACCCAGGCACCCCTAACATATGTGTTAAAGCACAGATGAGAACATAAAAAGAATGTTTTAAAAATACTTAATGATGGAAAATGACATGCATGTGCATGTATACACACACACACACAATATATATTTTATTTCAAGTAAAAAGAATAAAAGAATGGATAAAAACACACCAAAATGTGATTGTCTCCAGGTCACAGATTCATGGGTGATTTTTTTGCCTTTTCCAAATATTACTCGATGAACAAATTAATATAATCCTACCTCCTCCCTTTTTTGAAGTCACTATGAACACTTAAGACAACCGACACGGTAGGCTGGGCTATCCGTAAAATGTGGCTAGTACATCTGAGGAGCTAATTTTTACTTTTAAAAACTTGATGAATTTCAAATTAAATCTAAGTAGACCCGTGTGGCTTGTTGCTACTCTACTGGACGGAACAGCTAGACGGACAAAATACTAGTATGAGTTGAAGTCCCTATCAGGTTATCTCCTGCTAGTACTTGCCACTTTCAATGAATTCACTCCTTGTGTTCCTGTTCTTGTGGAAGGCCCCCTGCTGATGTGACTCTATGAACTCTGACCCTAGAGAGAGGAGGTGATTTACTGGGTTGTTCAGGTTAGCACGAATTGCATGCTAAGCTTACCTCACACGGGCTTTCTTTGTGTCAAGAGTGAGGGCGTGTGGTCACACTTTTGCCCATCCATGGTGTTACTCTTACCTGGGACAGCTTAGTGTTGCCTGAAACCGGGTGGGTGAGTCCCTCTAACCTTGTTCAGTCAGGCCTGTTTAGTTTTCATAATAAGCTGTAGCTCAGCCTTTATTAGTAAGAAGAGAGTATTTTGTTCTCCGTGTGCCATTTCTTTGTTTCCTCCATTTTCTTTAGTGATCGGTCGAGGAAGAGCGGGTCGTTTTTGTGCGACAGAACTAAAATTGACTAATTTTTATTTACTGTATTTTATGCCATCATAATTTAATGATATACTTCTGTTCAATAGGGATCCACAAATTATCCATCATCGGAAACAAATAGTTCATCAAACGATTTGGAAATGAAAGACTGTACATCGTTAGTTTTAAATTCGGAGAAGTGTTTTGAGAGTTTTGCGGATCCCTCTTCTCCCGTAATTTCTTCTTACGAGAATCTGCTGAGAACACCTACACCTCCAGAAGTCACTACCATTCCAGAAGATATTCTTCAGGTTATTTTCCCAGGCTGTTTCTTTTTCTGATACATTCTTTTCAAAATTAGACATTTATATTAACGACCTGAAACTGTATAAAAACCATCTTATTTCTCATCGGGCTAATGTGCTGGTTTGGGTACTGAGAAAATCCGAATTCTGGGCTCTCAGTCCCTTCTGAGAGTACCTGGATAAGGTTCTTCAGACTGAGCATGAGCTCAGGATTTCATCATACTTTTATTTCCTCATGGTGCATTTTCTCTTTACCTTCAACTTCATGTTCTGAAATGTCCTCTTAAAATATTTTATAATAATTGTTCAACTGCCATTGCCACGTTGACCATTTTTTCCATTGGAGGTATGGCTGGCAAAATCGGAAATGCCACGTACCCCCCCATTCTCCAGGGTAGGGTATCATGGATAACATATCAGTGTTTCTTGAACCTGAGACATCTTGGACATCAGTTTGAGAAACACTGACTTACATGTTAGAATATCCGATTCTTTTTTTTAATGTTTATGTATTTATAAGAGAGCACACAAGTGCACAGGCGTGAGCGGGGGAGGGGCAGAGAGAGCGAGGGAAGGAAAGAATCCCAAGCAGGCTCCGCGCCGTCAGCACAGAGCTCGACTCGGGGCTCCGTCCTGCGAACTGTGAGATCGTGACCTGAACCGAAATCAAGAGTCGGACGCTTCACCGACTGAGCCACCCAGGCGCCCCAAGAATGTCTGATTGTTTTGTACGCCACTTACCTCTAGTCTACTACTGATCTGTAAGGACTACCAACTCTACCCCGTCACCACCAGTCATCCCCACCCTAATAGAAGTTAGAGTGGCAGCTGTCGCTTAGGCAAGTGGAGTCGTTCAGAACCGTTCTCGCAAACTACCTAGCTTGTGGAGAGCCGTGGCTACTTGGAGTAATACCTAAATGCCAAGAGAGCGGACTCATCCTGTGATATCGAGAAAGTATTTGCTACCCGTTGTTTTCGGTCTTCTCTGTTTTCCTGGACATTAGAAAATCGGGTGTGCGTCTTCTATCTTTATAGGAGTTTATCTAGAGTTTCTACTTCGCTGTGGTCGATCCTCCTTTTTATTTCTACGTGAAAGGGGGGGATCCTTGTATTTCATGTATCACCTCTTTGTGAAAAAAAATCATAGCTGATATTTCAGAGTCTCCTTTTCATAATCTTTAATAGCTGATCATCTTTTGAGCACATATTTTGCCTCTTTCCTAGATACGTTTTCCCTGACAGTGTTGTAAAGGCTTAATTTGCTCTCGGGGATATGTTGCTGCTTATTTTACTTCCGCTAATCTTAGAGTACATTTTAGAAGGCTTCAGAAGTCAAGCCTCTACATCAAAGTTCAATTTCAAACTCCATCCTTTCTTTGCTGTTGAATGTCTGTGCTGCTGAAAAATTACTGTTTCAAATAACCCATATTTTTACATTTTTCTTGGCTTTTTTTTTTTTAAAGATTTTTTGGGGGGGTAAGTTTATTTTTGAGAAAGAGAAAGTGGGGGAGGGGCAAAAAGAGAGGGAGAGAGAGAATCCTGAGCAGACTCCACACTGTCAGCACAGAGCCCGACACGGGGCTCGAACTCACAAACCGTGAGGTCATGACCTGAGCCAAAACCAAGAGTCGGACACTTAACCGACTGAGCTGAGACCCTTTTCTTGGCTTTTCTTGAGTATTTTATAACACCTTCCAAGTTTGTTGTGTAGTTCTTGGGACTTGATAAAAAGGAATTTGTTTTGTTTCAGATTTTATCAAAATACAACTCGAACCTAGCTACTCCAGTGGCAGTGAGAGCCGTGCCACCCGGCAAAGCGTTCCTCGCCAAATACGGAGCGCCACCGAGCGTCCGAGGTGCTGGCAACAAAGAAAACTGGTGAAGGTAGGCGCCATTCCAGAGAAATCACCTGTTATTGGAGGAAGACACTTACAAATGAGCATTCAGATGGTAGTAAAATGTTTTGACATTTGCTTAACAGCTTAGCAGCCCAACTCTGGCTCCCGGGATACTGAGCTTGCTGTCCCTGCAGTTCAGATCCCCACACTAGCGAGTAGGATGTCACTGGGCACACGATTTTCTAAGTGCAAAAATACACAGTCACAGTGTTCTGTCATTTGTGTTGTTGATGTCTATTATAGCTCATGGATTTTTCTTAAACTTTGTATCTTTTTGCAGAAAACTTTGCAAGTTTTGTAGACACAGAACAGAAGGCGGTGGAAGCGGAGCGGGATGGACTCGTCGTGTAGCCCCACATCTTCCCCCTTTTTCCAAACCAGCCCAGAGTAAAGATGAACACGGACACAGATGTGCTTTTTGTTAAGATTTGACTCCATTTAACCTCGATCTTACTCGGCTATTCTGTCGTTAAAGTTGTCGTTAGGACTGCACTGACTTCACATTCACCTGCCTGATCTAACAAAATGGTTGAGAGATACTAGGACGCAGGGTAAAAAGTTTAAAGTTCTTAAATGTTTGTGACTTCCAACAAGGCCATCCTGATCTCGTGGCAGGGTGGTGGTGCCGTCAGCCAGAGCTGGGCTCCTCCCTTGATTCTGGCTCTGTCCTTGTCCTGTCTCCTCTCACGACTGTCCCTGAGCCTTTCACACCTTTTAGCTCAGCAGCGCTCTCTTAAGACTGTTGTCTACAGATGACAGCTTAAGTTAATTTAGGAAGAGGGAGGAGGCCGCAGGCCTGGGTGATTATACCGCGGACGGCCTCGGGCGGACCACCAGAGCCAGGGGCTCACCCATCAGGACGCGTGCCTTTTGTTTTTACTCACAGCTTCTTCGTACAGTCCACTCCATCCACCACGTGGCTGCTGACCCTCTCAGCGTTCCCTCTCTCCAGCTTGGCCACCCAGCACACCCCGAGCCTCTATGTGGAAGGTTTTGAGGACTCTTCCTGGGCCAGGTGCCCTTCTGTGGACTGTCACCTGGGACCCCAGGAGGCAGGGACCCTTGTCTCTTGAGCCGTCTGATAGCTTCAGGCCTCCCTGTCCAAGCCCAGGAAGTAGTTCTAAGTTCATGCAAGTAATGCTGGCGAACTCCAGATTACAACCAGAGGGAAAAGAAGGGCCTGTCCTCTGTGGACACCAGTTAAAATTGAGAAGCAGCAGTTTGCAAGTATCTTGACAAGGTGCTTCAGTGTCCCAAACCTACTAACCTTCAAAGGCTTAGGTTTGCGAAATTTGACGCAGGAAGGATGACCCAGCCCTCTTTTAGGCCTGTGCCTCGGAAGTCCAATGTGAAGACCTGTCCCGCTGTGCTCTTTTCATCCTGTTAGAAGATCATCCCTAAAACACCACTTGATGATTCTTTGTTCTAGGAATTACTATGTGGTTATAACTTAATTTTTGTTAAATGTAGTGTAACATAATTATCTGCAAGTTTTTCAGTTTTATTTTTCAAGGGCAAGCTCTGGTCAGTTTTATATATGACTCCCGAATTGCTGTCAAGCTCTTGTTGGCAGTTTTCTGGAGCTACACGCACATAGATCGAAGAGCAGATGAGACGGCCGAAGGAGGGAGGGGTGGACTCGAAGCATATTCGGGACTCAAGCCTGGGGTTCCCCTAACTTTGGAAGACGGAAAGAGGCGGAGCAATCTAGCAAAGGAGGTCGAGAAGAGGCCAGTGAAGGCAGAAAATATTTCACAGAGAGTGATCAACTCTATCAATATTGCTGAGGATCCGAGTGAAAAGACAGAAGCGACCACTGGGCTTCGCGAAACAGGTCGTTGACGGCACTAGTTTTTTGTTTTTTACGTTTGTTTTTGAGAGACAGAGCGTGAGCGGGGCAGAGAGGGAGGCACAGAATCCGAGGCAGGCTCCAGGCCCCCAGCTGTCAGCACCCAGCCGGACACACAGTTCAAACCCGTGAACCGTGAGATCATGACCTGAGCCAAAGTTGGATGCTCAACCCACTGAGCCACCCAGGAGCCCCCGACAGCACTAACGTTGACGGGGACCCAGGGAAGGAAGTTCGCAGTGGACTGGAGAGAGGGTGGGGGTGAGAAGCCTCAGGTGTCTTAAGATGCGAAATAAAGACCGAAGTAAGCGTTTCCGGTCGCCTGCTTTTTTCGCGGCGGCCCCTCGACTTCCATTTGCCCGAAACTTCTCCCCCCGACGCTTTCCACTTTTCCCCCATGGCCCTAGTTCCCGTTACTTCGCGCTGCGATGCTTCCAGCTTACTAAGCTCCGAGGGTTAGGATCCGGCGAGCCTGTCTCCTGGCTTAAAACCCCTCAGCGTCCCCCTGTGCTTTCGAAATGAAACCCAAGATCTCTGAGGCGGCCTCCGCGGCCCTATTCGATCTGACTGACCTTGGGCCACTTCTCCCTCTTCGCTCGCAGCTCGTGCTCTCCGCACAGGCCAACTCGCCTTTTCCGCCCCTTCCTGCCGCGGGGCCCCACACACACTGCTCTCGGAGGAACTTTCCCCGGCCGCCCCGCTTAGCGAATGCCCTCCCGTGGCTGGAGGTTCCGCCTCAGTCCGCCCACCACCGGCCTTTAAGGGGAAACGGCATTCCAGGTTTCCCGGAAGGACTCACAGCCGAGCCCCGGGCCACAGCGGCCGGCGCCGGGCCTTTGGCGCACGTCAAGCCTGCGAGGGCCGATCCCGGGACTTCGGGGAACCGCCGGTGAACGAAACCGCGCGCCCATTGCCTCGACGTGCCGAGACGCACGGCCGCGGCTGCCAGCCGCCATCTTCTCACCGCGAAGGGGACGGAGCCCCGGCCGGAGAGCGCGAGTCGAGGGGTGACAGCGCCGAGCCCGATCTTCCGGCCGGGCCCGCAGCCGGCCAGCTCCGGCCTGGGGCCTTTCGGTCAAATGCTTCACAAGCTCCTCTGCCTCGCTAGCTGGAGTTTCCTGGCCATTTCAGAGGCGTTTGGGGCCATCTGCCTCCGGTCTCGGGGTAAATGTCACTCTCTCCCCGGTCCCGCCTCGTTCTTTCTGAGCACCGTATTTTCACCCTTCACGACGGGCGGCAGAATTTGTGGTATGTTTGGGTGTACGTTTTTGTCGCTACGAACGGACCGCGAGCTCGAAGACGGCAAGGACCTTGGTTGCTTTTGTTCATGTAGACACCCAGCAACTTAAGCTACTGAAACAGTGGTAACGTCTTACTATGCGAGGCACGGTTCTAAACACGTGAACCAATTTAATTCTTGGATCAACTCCTACGAAGGATCGGGTACTCTCATGCCAACGTGCACATGAGCAAACCGTGGCTCTACTCTAGTGCCTGACTTTCCTTTGCCAGGTCCCGCGTCCCAGCCCAGATCCCGCTTCCAATTCTTTCTGCTGGCCTCACATCTCTGGACGTGTTCCCTCCCCCTTGCCCTCTGCCGCTACTGCGATTCGCACCTCAATTACCGCAGTGGCATCAGACATTTCCTTTGTATCTACTCCAGCCACCAGGCACTTCAGCGCCTACCTCCCCACATCCGTGCCTTTGCCCTTGCCAGATCCCACATGGGGGACAGAAATCCGACCCAGCTGCCCTTAGGAGCTGGACAAGCTCCAGTGCCATTTTCAGCAGTGATTACCTTCGTCGTGACACCTTCCGACCCACCTGTTACCAGTTACACTTCCGTGACTAGACTGGAAGACTTTTTTAAAAAAATTTTTATTTTTATTTTTGAAGGCGAGACAGCGAGAAAGACACAGAATGTGGATGGGGGAGGGGCAGAGAGGGAGACAGAATCGGAAGCGGACTCCAGGCTCCGAGCGCTCAGCACGGAGTCCGACGCGGGGCTCGACCTCACAAACCGAGCTGTGAGATCGTGACCGGAGCCGAAGCCAGATGCGCAACTGACTCGGCGGCCAGGCACCCCTAGACTGGAAGACTCTCTAAGCATCCGTATGTGGCTCAGGCTTATTGGTGTACTGCCAGGCCCAGGCACCTGCTATCCGACGGGCACTCGTTACATGTATTCTGTCCCGGCAAAGTACTGAGAAGCACGAGGGGAGCTGAAGTAATCAGGAACAGCACAGGTCCCAACAACGCCCAACAGGGACTCTACAATTGACAGGTGTGAAAAATGCCTCGGGAGGTTCACCTCCTTCACAACTGAAACTGCTTTAATTTCATCAACTCCCATCTGAACTTTTCTTAGGAGCTGCTAGCCTGGACAGGAAATTCTGACAACCGAAGGCACAAAACAAGGGGCCACAAATGCTTTTTTTCTTCTTCCTTAGTAAATAGCACTTTAACTGAATATTCACCATGACGCACACTCAGCAGCATTTCATTGGCTCCTCCCCACAAACTCAAGGTTGGTTTTGTAATAACACCTTTCTATAATAAATTCTGCATAACATTCCCAGGATCACGATTTCTGTTTAACAGAATTATTTTCTTAGTATTTAGTATTAAAATTGCTTTTTAGGCTTGAGCTTATTCCCCTGCCAGGGATTACGGAGGGGGGGAGGGGGGGAGAAAATCCCTGAGAAACAGACTTCCTTCGGGTTTGGTTCCGCTGCGGGCTCCAAGAAACTACAGCTATCGGCAAAACCACCCACAGTCAAGCAGCAAAATACAAATCGGAACACACGGACCCCGTCCGGCTGCTCTGAAACTCTCGGCTGGGAGCTCTGGTTTCACTCACGATGGGTGGCTTGGTTTGTACAAACACTGAAACCAGTCTACATACTCCAGACGACTGGCCCCTGGGAGAAACCAGTTGTGGCGGGGAGATTTCCTGCAGGAAGCAGCCCTGCAACGTGAGTGGGAGCCAGGCTGCAGAGGCGAGAATGAAAGAAATCGCCAAAGAACCCTACTTGGGGGAACGTACGTTTCAGCTTTTGCTGGGTACCTGGGTGCGCGTGTGCCCCACAGCGGTGCCCGCTTGAAGCAGGCCCCCACCTGATCGCTAGATGGAAC